AGTGAAGGACTCCAACCCAAAGAGAGAAACAGTGGAACCCTCAATCTAAAAGAATTGAAAACCTTTGATATTTGTCACTTAACTAAAGATAAGTGAGGAGAATTTAAGAGCCGGCCTACCATGTAAAATGGCATTTGAATGATCAAATTCCAGCCAGGGCCCCAGGTCAGGGCTAAGTACACATCTGAAAGACTCACAGTCCCATTCACATTCCTGTTACAGCCAGGACTCAGAGTCAAGAAAGACCACTAGGAACAGAGATCATGACAGTTTTATGACAGCTTACAAGAATCACTATGTCTCAGCCAAAAGCTTTTCAGCAAAAACCCCTAGGGGGCTCTACTGCTTGATTCAGAAAGATTTTGTTCACGTCTCTCATCTCCATACCTAGGGAGATACAGACAAAGGAAGCAGGAGATCTGGGTTGTAGTCCTGGCTCTGCCCATCATAATTTTTTATATACATATATTTTTTTTCACAGTTCCTAATAAGATATTTTAAATGAAAATTACTGACTGTAATTTCTTAAAATGAAGAAATAATTTTTTTATAAAATAAACAATTAAAAAATCAAAGTTATCTTTTTGGTGAATCCATCTAATCCTGAATTTTTTTTTGGTTGGGAGATTTTTTAAATTACTAATTCAATCTTGCTACTCATTATTTGTTTGTTCAAGAGTTCTATTTCTTTCTTGGTTCAATCTTTGGAGGTTGTATGTTCCCAGGAATTTATCTGTTTCTTCTAAGTTTTCTAGTTTATTAGCATATAGTTGTTCATAATAGTCTCTGATCATCTTTTATATTTCTGTGCTATCAGTTACAATGTCTTCTTTTTCATTTCCAATTGTGTTTATTTGGATCTCCTCTCTTCTTTTCTTAGTCTAGCTAGTGGTTTATCAATTTTATCTTTTTGAAGAACTAACTTTTCGTTTCACTGATCTTTTGTATTTGTAATTTTTTGGGGGGGGTCTCTATTTCATTTAGTTCTGCTCTGATCTTTGTTTTTCTTTTCTTTTGCTAACTTTGGGTTTGGTTAGTTCTTGTTTTTCTAGTTCCATGAGGTAGAATGTTAGGTTGTTAATTTGCAATCTTTCTACTTTTTTAATGTAGGCATTTAATACTATAAACTTCCTGATGAGTGTTTTTCTGTATCCCACAGGCTCTCATAGTTTTTTTGACATAAAGCAATTGTTAGATAATGCACCTCAGTAGGAAATCAGAACTGTGAAATTTGGGGTGTGACAAAAGGCAGTATCTGCAAAATCAAGTGGAAGAAATGACTCAATATACAGAGTGAAAAATAGAAAGGGATAGAAAATTACATGGGAAAAAAATCAAGAGACTATAGGCTAGATAGACTTAACCCATGGATAACCGAAGCTCTAGAATGAGAAATAAAAACAGAGACAAGGCGATAATAATCAACTCTCAGAAGAAAATTTCCCTGAAATTAAGAAAAACTTGAATCTATAGATTGAAGTCTTCAAGTTTGAATAGGAATGCTAAAAAAAATCATGTCTGGTAAAATTTCTAAATTTTTAAGTTAAATTTAACAGCTTATAGAAAGAATCTATACTTACTATATTGGTAAGGCTGCTTTTAGCAGCAAGCATCAGAAATATCCAAGTGGCTTTAAAAATAAGGATATTATATATATATAAATATATATATATACATATGGATATTATATACACACACATATGTACACACATGTGCACACATACACACACAAAGCCCAGGGGTAAAAGCACCTTAGAATTAGTGGCTCAATTACATCAGTGAAGAAAGACCAGACTTTTAAAAAACTCTTTATCCTGCCTTTATCCTCACACCACCTTCTTTCATGGCAGAAGTTATAGCATCACAATGCCAAAGCCAGCAAATGAATTTTCTCTCCTCTGTCCTGTAGCAGTAGCTGTTAATTTCCTATCCATGATCCACCTTCCTCTTCTTCATTGCTAAGAGAACCTTGATTTTGTGCCAAGCTAAACACTCTTTCCAACACTTCCTTTTGGTTAGGGATGACCACATGATATAATTTTGGACCACAAAATGTAAGCAGAAGCTTGTGTGATAGTTAATTTTATGTGTCAACTTGACTGGACCTCTGAGTACCCATAAATTTGTTTAGACATTATTCTGAGCGTATCCGTTTTGGTATGAGATTAACAGTTTAATCTGTGGAATAAAGCAGATTTCCCTACATAATGTGGATGGGCCTTATCCAATCAGTTGAAAGCCTAAATAGAACAAAAATCCTGACCCTCCCCTAAATAAGAGGGAATTTTTCAGCAGATTACCTTTGGACTTCATCTGCAGTATCAGCTCTTCCTGTCTGATAGCTTTTGAACTGGAACATTGGCTCTCCATGGGTCTCCAGTATGCTGCAGAATGAAGTTGCCAGCTACCATAATAGTGTTAACCAATAGTGTTAACCAATAATGTTAACCAATTCCTATATATATATGTACATGCACACACATGCATAGACACACATATATCTCATTTTATATACATGTGAGTGTGCATATATATGTTTATGTATATATACATGTGTACATATATTTCTGTTTCTCTGAAGAATCTTGACTAATACAGTTTGGTAGTTAGTTTCTGGAAAGCATTAGCTTTGAGATATGAGAGGACAGTAGCAAATGGTCACCCTTATCCTACTCCTTTTTTCTTCTTCCTGCTTTTAAGTGATGACTGGAACTGGAGCTATAGCAACCATCTTGCAACTATGAGAAAAAGGTCAAAGAAATTTCAGGTATGTAGGCCCTGATATCAGAGATGCTAGTATCTAATATCAGCAACTTCCTGCCTCTGGGCTTTGTGGCATGCGAGGAAAATATTTCCCAATTTTTAAATGCCATTTTTGTTGGATTTTATGTTACTTCCACTTAAAAACTTTCCTAATTGAAAGAGTGTTGTTTCAAAAGCCAGAAAACTATTTTTTTTTAATTTTTTTTTATTTTGGCATATTATGGGGGTACAGATTTTAAGGTTTCAATAAATGCCCATTTCCCCCCCTCCCCCCAAAAGTCTGAGTCTCCATCATGACCATCCCCCAGATGGTGCACATCTCACTCATA